CCTGCTTTGAGCAGGGGGTTGGACTAGATGACCTTCTGGGGTCCCTTCCAACTCTGATATTCTATGATTCTATGATTCTATTCCGGCCCTGGGCTCCCCCCAGCTCTGCCAGTGCCCCTCACCCCTGACCTGCAGCCCCCCGCTCCCTGCTATCCCAGCCTGGGCCTCCCTATTCCCAATTCTGCCGATACCCCTCACTCCTGACTCTCAGCTGCCATGATGTTCCAGTTCTGGTCCTCCTAAAACAAGATTACTAGTTAAATTCAAAATCATGTGGGCCAAGGGAAAAGCAGGTATAAAACCACCACCAGGCTAGAATGGGAGCATTTTACACTCATTCTGAGAGTGCCAGAGTGTAAATGAGGAGGGTGATGGAGAGTTAGGCCCTTCGTTAGCATGATAAAGTATTTAGGGGCTGCTGAGGGGTAAACAAAGCACAGAAGCCTGAGGTGTTGGTCAGGGGTAAATACACCCACCAGGATGGGGCTGTACAATATGCTTGGCCTAAATACACCGTTGGGGCTAGGTGCTCGGAGCTGGATGCCCCCCGGGCCATTTGTCATTCCTGTCCCATGCCGGTGGCAAGATGCTTTGCAGCACAGCGCCACCTCCGCTACCTCCTGGCCTTCCTGCTGACTTCTGGGCGGGGACAGAGGCTCCCTAGGACTCCCAGCCTCCGCCCCTACTGCAGCCCGCAGTGTGGGGCCCACACGGGTTTCCGACTTAATTCAAGAGGAAATGAGCAGGCGCAGGCGGTGAAGGATCTGCCCAGCCCGGGGCCTCCCCCTGGGGCTGCTCCCCAGAGGCGCGCGCGCGCGCGCCCGCGGGGGGGGCGCCTGGAGGCGGCAGCCGGGGCCGAGGTCCCCGATCCGGATAGGGGCCGCCCAGCCTCCTCGGGCGGGGCCAGCTTCCCCATAAACTCCCTTCTGGCGGCTGCCGCGCCCCGGCCGGGGAGGGAGGCCGCAGCCGGCTGAGCAGGACACGGGGAAGCCGGTCCCCGCGCGAGCCCCTGGGGGCGCCTCGACCCCCCCCCCCCGCCGCCCAGCGAGCTGCGGCGCACGTGGAACCCGGGGGGAGGGGGCGCGCGCGGCGTGCTGCAGGCTGGGATTTGCACAGTCACCCCGGGGCGTGACACCCGGCGGGGGGGGCGGGGGAGCAGCCGCTCCGCGTGCCAGAGTGGAGGAGAGGGCGGGACTATTTACTGAGCTGCTGTGAGAGGCGGCGGAGGGACACCGCTGGCTCGGCCGGGCTGTGCTGTAACTTTCTTCCAGTAGTTTCCATGCTAGGCCTCCCCCTCCCCCTGCAGCCCCCCCCCCCGCCCCCTCTCCCTGGGGAATCCGCGGTGGCCGCAGCAGCCCAGTGCCTGCCACTGCAGCACCACAAGGGGGAGCCCTGGCGCAGGGGGAGCTTAGCGGGGGAGGGTCCCCCCCGGGGCCCCCCTTGCTGCCCACTCCCCTTCCCAGTTACCCCCAAGCCTCCAAAGCTGCCCTGCAGCCAGATGTCCACAGGGGAGGGAGCTGTGGCTACCCTCTTGGCACCTATTGAGCCCCCCAACCTCCTGTGAGCTCGGGGGAGGGGATGGCTGAACAGAGGGGGTGCTCAAGATGGGGTGGGGGAAAGGCCCCCCAGATTTATCCCACATCCTAGATAGGCTGACACTTTACAGACTCAGAATGAGGTCAGCTCCCTGCTGCAGGGAGCCTGGCAGGCCCCCATCTCAGAAGGGAGGACAGTATGGTCTAGTGATTAGAGCCAAGGGACAGGACTCCTGGCTCTGCTGTGTGACCTGGGGGCACCTTCTCCCCACCCCTGGACCTCAGAGTCCCCATCTGTAAAATGCTCCTCTTTGTAAAGCACTGAAAGGCCTGGGCTGCACAGTTTGTGCACTGATTTAATTACCTCCATCTTGGTGCAACCCCCTGGAGTGGTCTTAAATTGGTTTAAGAGTGGAGCTGCCCTGATATAATGACCTTGGTTTATCGGTGAAAAAAGAGAAATTGCTAGATAAGGACAAACGATTGGAATAGAACCCAGGAGTCCTGACTCCCAGTCACCCCTGCCCTAACCACTAGGCATCACTCAGTTTATCCAGGCATCACTTTATTTCCACACTTACCTGTCTCTTTCCCTCCCTTGCTCCCGCGTTTGGTTTGTTTGCAAACATTCATGTTAAGCTCCTGTTTCCAAAACAAACAAAAGAAAGGAGGGGAAGAAGAGGAGGGTGATGTCTGTCAGCTACCTGAGCCAGTAACTGCTGTCCTCCTTGGTGAACCAGTTTGGGCCTCAAAATGGGGTGGGAGGGGTTGTCTCTGGGTCATAACTTCCTCCCCCCGGGCTGGCAGTGCAGGGATCTCCCTCAGACACAGGAGCTACCTGCCCTTTGGTAACACCTGAATAGTTTGTCATGTCAATTAAGTCTCAATGGATGGAATTGCCTGCAGTTCTGGACCCCTCCCCATGGCACCACCTAGTGCCCAATCTTCAGTATGACAGGTATTTGCATTGCTGTGTTGCCAGCAGGGACCCAGCATACATGGACCAGTGGAAACAACCAGCGGCCCTGCAACAGGGAGGGACTGCAAACCCGGCGCCCAGGTAGTTGCCCTTGGGATCTCTGGGCCTCTCAGCCCCTCTTCACAGTGTGAATTGAGTAAAGGCGTCTCCACTGTGACTGGAGCACATTCCTTCCTGGTGGGGCCTGGCCTCTGAGGATGGGGCAGGTGTAATCATAATTAACCCAGGCAGGGATTGATGCTGTGACCCAGTTTGGGTCCCATCCACACTGGGTGGGCCACATCGGGGGGGGAGCCACTTCAGTCACAATTCAGCCTCTACTTTAACAAACTTATTGCCCCCATGACTGGGCAGGGATTGCTCTGTGGCACCCCTCAAACACCTCGCTCGGCAGTGGGGACAGGACTTGGAGCCTTCTGCTCCGTAAGGTCCAGCAACAAGGAGAATCTCTGTTGCCACCAGTATTGGACCTGTGACCCTTGGGAGCAATTCCAACACCACCCATCTGGGGCAGCTCAGGGAAAGTTGGGACCAAGACTTCTAGGGAGGGAAGGAAGTGCTTCCCATTAGGGATGAGGGCACCCTGCAGATCTGCGATGAACTGGAGAGCCTCACCCCTGGATTGAGGCAAATGTCCCCTTTGCGGTGATGATAGTTTTTCCAGAAACCCAAAGGAGAGCTGAGAACAGGGCTTAGTTGGGGAGACCCTGTGCACCATACTTCCAGTCTCTCCCAATGGCTTTCTCCTGCTTTTCCTGCATGTTTTCGGTCTGCAGCTGGGCAGGTGCTGCTCTGGAGAGACCCTGCTTCCCGAACAGGCAACAGGTAGCAGGGTACTGGAGCGCCAGTCAGCTACATTTGGACCAAACCCTTTGGAATCAGACAGCAAATACCTATGAGGAGGCCAGAGTCCCCCACCGTTGGGGGTCTCCCCCAGCTGCCCCCTCCATGAGCATGTCTAGGGGGAGCCCTAGGCTGGAAGTGACCTCTTTAGTCTGGGATGGACACCCCCTGGGGCCTAGGGAAGGAGCATGTGTCCTCTGGCCTCCTCCTCCTCACAGAGAGTGGAAATGATCTGAACCCTGCTGAGATGCCAGAACAACACTGCCATCTCCACCCCTGGGCACATCCTGCCCCGTGGGAGGTTCCTCTGCCAGCTCAGCTGTCCCATCTCCAGACTGAATGCATGGTTACAGTGTTGGTAACCCTGGGACAGGTGGGTGGGGAGAGGTAGGAATGAGATGCCAGGGCTGGAAGGGAAACACGGGAACGTCTGGTCCCTGAGGTTGGCTGTCTGGTGTGTGTGTCCCCAGTCCTGGCTCCTCTCACACAAACGGCCCTTGTTTTCTGGCCTTAGGGAGACAGCAGCTCTTCTAGGGCTCAGGGCCATGGGAAGAATGACTGGACAACGTGGCTGTTGTTACAAACCTGGCCAATGAGTACATGATTCTGCTTGACTTTCCGGAGGCCATGGGCATGAGCTCTGTGCTGAGCCAGATGCACACTGGGATATGCAGCTCGGGATGTGCCCCAGCCAGTTTGAATTTAGCGTGGCTAACAAGAGCCCGTAGCTGCAGCAGCATGGATTTCAGCACAGCCTGCCCAAGATCCTGGGATATATTCCCATTCAGAGCCTGCACCCGTGTGGCTGTGTCTTCTCTGCTATGTTTGGCTGTCCTAGCTCACATGAATATGCCTCTGCGAGCTGCAATCACACCTTCAATGACTGTGTACACGTACTCCAGGGGAGAATCAAAGAGCAAACCCTGGGGGTTTTGCACAGCTAGGTTTGGTGCCAGGGATGCAACTATCCTGGACATGGGTTACAGGTGGTAGATGGAGGGCATCAGTGGACTATGCTGGGATGAAGCTGACAGGTGTATGGGCAGGTAGTCCTGGTGTTCAGAGGAACCAGCGCTGTCCCTAGGAGCAGGAGACTGTTTCTGGGGAAACTGCTTCCAAGAGAGGCAAAGGGGCTGGGACGCTCAGACAGGACAGAATGCTACAGTTCACTATTGTGGTCACTAGGGGGCACAACAGCTCAGCCAATGCACCTGCCAGGGAAAGTTTTGCAGAATGGATTTGATTCTCAGAATAGCTTAGCACCCGCAGCCCCACCCCCCACCACCTCTCAGAGCATGAGACCCCAGCACCCCCAGCCTGCTGGTGCCAGCCCAGACCTCTGCTCCCACAGCCTGCCCGTACTGCCCTGGACCCCCAGCCTGCTCTCAGTACTCAAAGCACTGGCCATGTCTCCATGCGCTGGGGTTATGGTTGGGATCCCCTGCCCCCTCACTGTCCATGGAGCCCCCCCTGAAATGGGAAGCCAGAGTGGGAGTAAGCTGAGCAGGGGCTGAGGAGAGAGACACCAAGATGTCTCCACACCGGTCCCTTCAGCCCTGGGGGCCTGGCTCTGCTGCCTGCATGGTGCTCGCGCTCCCCTCCCCCAGTGGCGGCATGGGAGTCAGTGGCAGACACATGAGGAGGCATGTTCACTCTTTGTATAGAAAAAGGCAACTGTACAGCTACATTTACAGAGACAAACGGGCCGGGCCCCCACTCGCGCCAAGGAGCACCCAGCCCGGCAAGGCCTCACGGAGCATGGGGTGGCTCGTGGCAGTGCTGTCCTCCACTGGCCTTCTCACTCTATGCGCCCCGCCCCCAGCCAGCATCCCTGCTCCACTCCGCCAGTGCCTCCTGCTGGGGAAGATCAAAGTCTGGGGCAGTGCAAGCAGCTGGGGTCAGTGTCACCTGGAGGGAGGGCAGGAGCAGGGGAAAGGCCAGGGCAGGAGGAGAGGAAGGCAGTGCAGTAATTAAGGCATCTGACTGGCACTCAAGACACCTGGGCTCTATCTGCAGCCCTGCCCCAGTTCCCCATCTGGAGTATGGGGTCATGACCCTTCCCTAGCTCCCAGGAGGGAGGGGGAGGAATAAAGCCATGAATGTCTGAGAGGCTCAGCAGCCATAGAGATGGGGGGGCACACACGTATATAGGGCGGAGCGGGAGGGAGTGCAGTCTGCAGGACTCCCTTTCACTCAGCCAGGCATGGGGCGTTTCCCTTGCTAGGGGAGGGGGAGAGACACTGGACAAGGGTGAACGCTCCAGGGACCCCTTGAGAGGAGGGCGGGATGGGGAGAGCCAGTCACAAGCAGCCCCCAAGAGGGGCAGTGCCCCAGGCACTCTCTTTTCTTTTGAGCTAAGGACCCCAGACTTGGCGGGTGTGATATGAATTTGAGGCAGGATCCTGGCATCTGTGTGTGGGGAGGGAGTCACACGACACGGGGCAGGGGGAGATCTGTGTGTGCAAGGGATCCAGGGGTCACACACAGTATAGTGGGCACACAGGTCCTGGAGCCATCACACAAGCTGGGGGTAGGGCAAAGTGGCCCAGCAATGGGAGCCCCAAGCCATCCTCAGGGCAGGTGGAGGTTGCTCCCCAGGTCAGAGGGCATAAGGTCTGTTAAAGCAGTGAGAGTTCATAGCAGTACACAGGAGACGTTCCCCACGGCACCGTAGCCTCTATGTGCTGGCTGGGGGATGAGAAGCTGAACCAAGCATGGCCTCAGTGTCCATGCTGCCGCCCCGCTAGATCACCGTCCGGAAGAGGAAGGAGAACACGGCTCCCAGCGCCAGGCCCAGTGAGAGGAAAAAGGCCATGATGGCTCCAGCTGTCTCGGCTTCATGGGCGAGCACCTTTCTGGGGGAGGAGAGAAGCGTCAACCCAGCAGCACTGTGCACCAGCCCCAACCCTTGGTGACTCCTGTCCTAAGCCCTCCTGTAGGAATCAGTGCCCTGCAGCTCCCCAACATCTCCCACTCCATTCTCAGGGCTGAAGGGAAAGGGAACGAGAACCTGGAATGAACTCGGAGTTGTCTTTGGGGAATAATCCTGCACCACCCCAAACAGAAGGGTTGGGAGGGACCTAAAGGGGCTTCTCAATGCACACTTCAGCAGAACATGTGGGAACTAGAGCAGGGGGGCTGCCCCCACCCTCGCTCGCAGCCGGCGCCCTCGCTCCTGCCCCGCCCCTCCTGCTCTTCCAGCTCTGGTCTCCCCACCTGTGTGGCACAGAGCAGTTAAAATATTTCTGCTGGACACCCCACCCCTTGTGGCAGAGTCGGGCTGAGAACCCAGGTCTCCCGACTCCCAGATCTGTGCTTCAACCCCTGCTTGTGGGTCAGAGCAAGGGACTGGGGGGATCCTGGGGCACACACAGGGTCTTCTCCCCGCCCTGTGGCCAGGTCCGCTTTAGAGACCAATTGTTCTACCGCCAGAAAGAAGCCTCAAGTGCCTGACAGAGAACAGTTTAGTCCAGTTTCCAAGGGCCCCCAGGATTGTGGTACTGACACTGCAGGGAAGGAGGGGACAGGATGGCATGTGAGGGGGAGCAGCCTGCAAAGGGCCCCCCATGTTGGAGGGCAGGAGGTTCCCTTCACGCCACTGGGAATGCACTTGGTGAGCAAGTTCATTGAACTGCCCGGCTGTTATGCACTGGCGGAGTGTGTGTAGGCCCGACACGCCCGTCGGTGGTGCTCTCGTGCTGCCTCTGCTGATTGTGCTGGAACATGGCAGGCAGAGCAGAAGTCTGCACTAAGGGTGGTGCCCAAACCAGAAACCTGCTCTTTTCAGGCTGTGGGAGGAATGCAGGGGCTGGGGCGGGGTGTCACGCACAGCCACACGGGACTGAAGCTGAGCCAGGGGTCGAGCTGGCGCTGTATGTGGAGCAGGGGGTGGGGTTAGGAACCAGGCCGGCCAGCAGCAGGGAGAAGCGCTGGCATGGCTGCCACTTGATAATCACTCACGCTGGTGATGGGGAGAGGGAAAGGGGGGCCGGAAGGGCACCTGCTTCTGGAAGGGAAGGGGGCCGAGGAGGCAGTCGCAGCAAAGGGCAGGGAGGGTGCTGACTGTTTCCCGGCGGGGCTTCTCTGCAGCAGTAACCCCATCCCCACGTCCCCCTGGGATGAGCGCCCAGCTCTGAGTTATGGGCTCGTAAAAAGACCACGGCTGCTAAGTGTCAGGCACAGCGCCATCCTGCAGCTCCCGGTGCCAGCATACCCCTCGCCTTGACAGACTGCAGGTCCCGGTCGACCCCAGCTCCCTGCGCTGGGGCTGAGGCTGTGTCCCTGGCCGAACGCTCTGCAGGGCCAGTCGCCTTTGGCTGCCTAGCTCTGGGGGCAGGTCCCCCCCCCCAGCTATCGGCCCTGGCCCCTGTCGCTTTCACTCCTCTCTTAGGAGGCACAAGTCTGAGCTCAGCTCCTGGCTGGGGAGGAAGGAGAAGACTCGTGGCTGAAGCACAGGACTGGGAGCCAGGACACCTGGGTGGCCCGGGGCAAATCCTCCCCCCACCACCCGTTTCTCCCTCTGTAACATGGGGAGTGTGATCCTAACCCACTGCACCAAGGCAACTGGAAAAGCACCCGTTAGATAGGGGAACCCCCAGGCTGGGTCCCTGGGGCAAAATTGCCGTCAGCCAGTGCCCAGTGCAGCAGCATGGGCTGGTGTGTGGTAAGAGGTTGCTTGGCTCCCCTCCCCCAGCCACAGGTCACACTCACTTGGGCCCGAAGCACATGCAGAGGCTGGCCAGGTAGCCGTTGGAGATGGAGAAGAGGATGATGAAGCTGATGTACCAGGCGTCGTGGTGGAAGAAAACAGGCATGTGGCTGCGGGGCTGCACGTTGCATAGCATGAAGAGGGGGATGAAGACCATACGGGCAGCCACCATGATGGGCAGGAGTCGGCTGTCTTTCCCAGGCTGGGAGAGAGAGACACAGATCTATGAGTGGGTAGTGTGCCACAGGACACTGGGGAACTGGGCAGGTGAGGGGCATCTCCCCATGGCACCCTGCAGGGCACTAAGGTGCATCTGACAGCAAGAGGTGAGGGTAGAGGGGGATCCATACAGGTAAGGCATAGGAAGGAGGCTGCTGAAGGAGCTTCCCATTGTCCCACTCAACTCTAGGCCCCCCCCTTCTAACCGAGGCAGCTCAGTGCTGTGCCTACCCACCTGAAGGGGGTGCTGCTGAGGGACGCAGGCTCCCTCTCTCTGCCCTGCAGTGCCCTTTGCACATCCTGCGCTCCCATCTGATGCAAATGTGGCTGGGGAGGACTGGACTTACCGAGCTCCTGCACTGCAGCTGCTGGCTTAGGCCCCAGGGAGAACAGCGGGGTCAGCAGGCAGGTCCCTGGGACGCAGTCCCTGGCTCCTGCAACCCCTTCAGGTCCATTCCCTGGGACTGGGCTGGGGCTTTTCCAGCCCGCTGACTCGTGCTGCTGGAGCGCTGGGTGGCAGCAGGAGCCAGAATGCTGAGCCAGGGTTCTGCAGAGCCAGTAACGAACGGATGGAAAACAACAGGCTGATGGCAGCTGTGAAAGCCCTTCACACATGCAGTCCCCCGCCCTCTCCCGAGGGGACGGCCGTTCATGGGAAATGCCCGTATTCCTGGCCAGCTTTCACCAGCTCCCTGAGCTCCCCTGCCCCACGCTCTCTGACCCTTGGCCCTGGCTTGGCAAGTTTCTGGTCAGTCTCCCTTCTCCTGCCTGCTGTGTCTGCAGGTGTGAGCCCTCCCCAGGGAGCACTTTGGTTCCGGCTGGAACCTGCCCTGTTCGGTCCCTTCCCTTCGGCAGGTCCAGCTTTGCTTAGAGCCGAGTGCGCAGAGTGGAAGCCCCCATCTTGGTCTTTCTCCAGCAGGGTGTGAAAACGTGCCCCCTGGACCCGACGCCACTGGGACATCCCAGCCTCTCCTCTCAGTTCCACCTGGGCCTCTCCAGAGCGGTTGCAATGGGGCCACCATGAATGGATGCTACCGTCCTGGAGCCAGGATTGGCTGCCTACATCTGACATGAGCCTTTGTTGTCCCCTCAGCTTGAGACCCTCCAGGGCACATTGTGCTCACGACTGCCCCACTGCTGTGCCAGCCAAGCCCAAAGAGTTTGCTGCGGGATAGGGGCGGGCCGGTCCCAGTGTTTGTGGGTACAGCCAAAACCAGCATCCTGTTGACTGAGTGGCCCCGCCCCGGGAAAGGAGGGCCTCCGGCAGATCAGCCAGGCCAAACCACAGGCAGTCACATCCCCATTTCCATAAAGCTGTTTTGGAACCATCTCCAGCTGGGTCCTCCTGCCAGCAGGGATGTGGCCTGGCGAGGCAGCTCAGGGCCAAGGGCGAGGGCAGCCAGACAACGTGACCCCACTGCTGGGAGGGAGTTTTGGAGAGGCAGCTCCTGGCAGCAGGGGGTCCTAGCTCGGCCAGGCCGGCTGCCTCAGACCGGACAGGCTCCCCGTTGTCTCATGCTGTCAAGAGTTTATTCAAACAAACATCCTGAACAGTAATGGGGGAAGTGTTGTATGGGGCGCGGAAGAGGTAGGAAGAGCCAGAGACACCCCAGCCCCCTCCCCACCCACAGCAGCAGGCGCAAGGGATAGTCACTGCAGAGCAAAACTCTGGACCCACAACCTGACCCACTCTAGGCCACCTGGAATGTGAGAGAGAAAGAGTCCCCCAGCAGCCCTGTTAACTGTACAGGGTCCATGACACATACTCATGCAGATCGGTTTCCAAAACACCTCCCATTCCCTGGACATGGTAGCACCCTGAACGCTAGCTACAGGGGGCGGTGTTTAGCCTCGCTCCTGCATTCTCAGTTCCCTGCTGCTGGCCGTGCCTGGAGGATGGCAGGTGGCAATTCCAGGGCAGAGTGGGTACAGGGCTCAGACCAGCCGACACAGTCTCGGAGGCCCACACGAAGGGCCTCCGAGCCCTGTTATTGGGACAGGGCCAGACCCCACAGCAAACACCACAGAACTCCAGAGCGTCAATGGCACCATATGGGGCAGGCCTGAGGGGGCAAGAGAAAGAGACAGAGGGGGGCCAGGGAAGGGGCAGCATTGGGCACTGCTGCCATGGAGGGGACTGTAGCCCATTTGGTGCCCTTTGTGAGCCCAGCCCTAGACTGCCTGCGAGCAGTGCAGCCCCCTGCTGCTCCTCCTCCGCCCTGACCAGCTGTTTGTGTAGCTGCAGCCTGGGTTTGTTTACAAGGAGGCTGCAATTGAGAAGATGATTGCCTCCAAGCCACACTGCCGGGAAAACAGCACCATGGGAATGTCTAACTGGAACTTCACAGGATCCCGCCCCCACGCCCATTCGCCACATCCCCTCTCGGACCTCCCCAACACCAGCTCCCTTCCAGGACCTCCAGCCTACCCATCTCTCTGACTTCACTTGGGCCCACGCCCTCCTTCCCAGCCGGAGTTTTCTCAGCGCCATCCTGTCCCCGGCGGTGAGCTGCTCTTCCCTCGGCCCTAGCTCCCAGACTCATAGACTTTAAGGCCAGAAAGGACCATCGTGATCATCCAGTCTGACCTCCTGCATGTCGCCAACCACAGAACCTCACCCACCCACTCCTGTGACAGACCCCTAACTGCTGGCTGAGTTACTGACATCCTCATTTAAAGATTTCAAGTTAAAGAGAACCCACCATTGACTCTAGATCAAACCCACAAGTGACCCAGGCCCCATGCTGCAGAGAAAGGAGAAACCCCACTATGGTCTCTGTCAATCTGACCTGGGGGAAAATTCCTTCCCGACCCCAAATGATGATGATTTAGTTAGACCCTGAGCATGCAGGTGGGACCCACCAGCCAGACATTTGGGAAAGAATTCTCTGTAGTAACTCAGAGCCCCAGCTAGCGTCCCATGTCCAGCAACTGGAGATATTTGCCAGCTGCCATCCCCACACCTCCTTCCCTGTCACACACATTCCCAGAGCAGCCCATCTGTTGTTGCTCCCTGGGCTCCTTTTTCCCAAGTAGCTGCTGCCCTCTGCACTCTTCACAAGGCAGCTGATGGCTTCCTACCAGTACCACCTATGGGTCCCTTCTATGCCCTTGGCATCCTGCATCTTGCTTTTCTCTGGGCTCACCACTTCTCTCTCTGCTGTACTTTGCTGCCTGCAGCTGCTGGTGTCCCTCAGGGCACCATCCCCTTGCTTGCTAGGTCTCTCTGGAGTGCCTGTTACATCCACTTCCTGGGGAGTTAATTATAGACCCTTAAGCAAACGTGTCAGACTCAGCTGGGAAAACACCCCGAATTCACAGTGCCTTTAGCTTCTCCAGCCAAAAGAGGCAGGACAGGATTCCAGGGGGACGGGCTCCCTACAGCTCCATGATAGTCACCCCTTGCCCTTTCCTAGCATGTACACACAATTGTACTTGAGCCCCAGCCCACTGGGAGGTAGGGGTCAGCAGCTGAGGGTCACCTACTGTACAGGTGGAGAAACTGAGGTAGGGCGCAGGGAAATGACTCACACACGGGCATGCAATGAGGCAATCAGAGCCAGGGACAGAAACTAGGAGTCCTGACTCCCAGCACCCTGCTCTAACCCAACAGTCCTTGCTCAGCTCCCAGAGCCAGGATCAGAATTCAATGCAGAGCCCCTTGTGCTAACTTGCCAGCACCCACTTCCTTGTGTCCTGCATGGGCAGCTGGGCTGTCAGGACACAGGGCAGCCCTGAGAGGTGAACTCTGATTGGCTGACTGTGCTCCTAAAGGGTCAGGGCCCAGCTGCCAGGCCCGTGCCCCCTCCGCCCCACACTTACCCACAAGCAGACAGCTGTGAGGCTCCGTCCCAGCCAGTCGAAGATATTAAACATCAGGAAACAGGAGACAGGGATGAAGTACATCTCTGGAGAGAGAGGAAGGGTCAGTGACAGGTGATAGGAAGGGGTGGGGTGTCCTGTCTTCTGCATGAGGTGCCCCCCACCGTGCAAGGGGACAGGGGGATCAGGCCCTACCCAACAACACAGCCCCTCCCAGGGGTACAGGCTCGCACCCTCCCTCTCCCTCCAACACGCCTCTCCCTGCAGCTCAGCAGCCAGGACAGGGTCTGGGCCCAGCCCACACCGTTGCCCACAGATCCTGCCCAAGCCTAGGAGAGAAACCTGGCGCCCAGTCTGTCAGAGGACACAGCAGGCCTATCCAGCTCTCAGGTTGCCATCAGATGTCACTGGGGCCTCTCCCCTGTAGCTCCTTCCCCACCCGAGCCCCACTTTCTTCCAGCTCTGCCCCTGGGGGCCACTCCCTTCTAGCCCGCCCTGTCCCTAGTTTCCCTAGCAATGAACGAAGGGAAGCCTGCTGTCACTCACCCCACTTGCTGCTTCCTGCAATCGTGGACTTCACCTCGGCGGTGACTGCCGGGAAGACCCCAATGGTGACAGTAAAGACAAAGCAGACAGACAGAGCCATGACCCAGATCTAAGGGGCGAAAACAGAGCCAGGACCCGTTACCCAAATATGTAGGGACAGACCAGCTCTGGGGGTCTCCCACTCCGGGTGAGAGACGTGGCCCAGGCATGAGGGGTAGGAGGTATCACCAACTCACATACCTTCTTAAAGATGCTGAAGACAGAGGGCTTCTGGCTGGAAACTTGGGGGGCTGTGTTGTTCGGGTACCTCTGTTCCACCCCATTGGGCTCGCCTGTAGGGAGAGACAGGAAGGGTGAGGGGAGGCCCTAAGGTGGTGGGTGATCCCAGGTGCAGCCAGTAGCTCCACACTTGAGCCCAGTCCCAGAATCAGCACTGATCATGCCTGCGCCTTCCCCATCCCCTGGGATTCTGGGGTGGGCCACATGCAGAGGGGCTGCAGGCTTCCCCAGAACTAGAAGCCTCCCCAGGTCCAGCTCCAGTCCCCAGCTCTCCCTCCAGCCTACCTGTCAATATTCCCCTCTCCCCTGGTTCAGGCTACTCCCCCGGCATGCCCCACCTTTCTTGATCAGGTCGATTCTAGTCTCCAGCTCAGCATGCCCCTCATGGACCCGATACTCGGTCTTGTCCTTCATCAGGTGGTAACGGAAGAAGTCCTGCAGAGAGACCACCCAGAAAGTTTGTGTGTGGGAAGGGGGGTGGGGGTGGGGGGGGGGGAGTGGGGCAGGAGGAGAAACTCTCTGCCCCCAGGGATGGGGGCTGTCTGCGGCCAGGACTGGAGTGTCACGGGGGAAGCCTGCAGGCACGGGAATGAGGCTGGCTTCCCCTTGCACTACGGCTCCTCTAGAGCACAGCACCCCCACTCTCCTCTGCCAGATGGGTGGTCCCCTGCTGGGGTAGGTCCCCTGCCGGGGTAGGTCCACACCCTTCGCCTCCCTGAGAAGGGCAAGTCCTTACCAGGCGGGGCAGCAGGATGTAGGAGCCGATGGCCAGCAGGATCACCACGCAGGCTGTGATGAAGTAGCCGAATGCGCTGTCTTCCAGCAATGAGCCGCCTGGGAGCACGGAGAGGAGAGAGGCCGGAGGTGAGGGAAGGGCAGAGGGGGTTGCTGGGGAAGGCAACAATAGGGGAAGAGACACGCCCTGCCTCTCCCCTCCGCGCCAGCTCTGCCAGAAGGACACCCCTCTCCTAGGACAGGATGTTTGCAGAAGCCTGTGGAGACCCCCCAAGCTGCCCCCTGCATGATCACCTACCCAATAACTGGATTTTAGTGCCCCTTCCAGAGTGACCCCCAAGTGTGCCCTTTCCTAGAGGTGCCCTGGCAGCTGGCTCTGAACTGTGTGTGTGTAGGGGGGGTGTCGAGGGGACGGGCAATCTGCACACCCTCTGCACCGATCAGGCCCTCCTGCAGCTCCTGGACACAGGCTGTGTTTTGCAGCAGATCCCACTGAAAGGTGGGCGGCTGGAGGGCTGTAGACAGGGCTTCATGGGAGTTACTCACTGGCGATAGCGCAGATCATGGCCAGAGCTGCGAAGGTCCCTGCCATGCCCTGCCCGCTCATGATAGGGGCTGTGTAGCTGACAGGCAGCAGCCCTGCCAATCCAAAGAGGCTGCCCTGGAGGATGGCACCAAAGGCTGCAAGGACAAAGACAGGTAATAATGAGGATCGGCAAATAGGGGTGACACATAACAGTGCCCTTCTCCCACCCTTGCTGTGAGACAAACAGGGGATCTGCACTACATCGCGGTCAGTGCCCCTGCCCAGCTCCCTATGGCGCCTCCTGCTGGGGGAGGAGTAGCCATGCATTTCAGTGCCAGGAGATCAGACCCAGATGCGAGACCCTGTAGCAGCAGAGTGGGTTGGCACTGCCTGCGGTAAAAGCGAAGGGAGCGGTTGAATAGGGCCAGTGCCTCTTTCCACCCCTCTGGGGCCAGCTTCCCCGACCCCAGTAGCACCAAGGATTGCCCAAGGCCCCCCACTCACAATTGATGAGGATGATCTTGACCATGGTGATGACGAAGAAGGGGAGGGGCTCCAGGGGGATCTTTACCAAGGCAGCTGTCATCATGAAGACCAGCAGGATGGCAACCAGGCTGCCCAGGATACGGACTTTCTGGGGGACCCTGCAGGGCGGCAAGAGAGCCCCACAGTGAGAAGAGCCCCCGCCAACAGGGCCATGGGGGGCTGCGAGAGGCACCCACCTCGGCAGGCCTGCCTTAAAGGGGAATTGGGTCACAAAAGCCAGGCATTTGGTGGGTCTCGTGCCGGTGTCGAGTGGGGATTGGTCCAGCTGGGCTCTGGGAGGATGGAGGGGACCCGGAGGGAGGCTGAGTTCTCTGCTTGGCCAGAGGGGATGGAGATGAGGGACCGGGCCAGGGCAGGGGCCCAGACTTACCTCTGGTGGAGGAAGGAGTTGAGGCAGGTGAAGATGAGCAGGGGTAGCATGGCACAGAGCGTCATGAAATTGTTGAACCTGGCCTGCAGGTGGGTGGGGGGAAGCTCCTGGCCCTTGTCCGTGCTGTTCAGCCCAGCGAGGGGCTCCAGGGAGGAAATGTTCTGGGGTTCCCCAAGGCGGTTGGTGAAATACTGAAAGGGAGAGAGCGAAATGAACGCGCTTGCCTCCGACACACCCATGCCACACGCACGTCCCTCCTGGCGCATACCAGCTCCCAGACCAACACGAGCATGGACCACACGCACCACACACTCCTTACCCTGGTGGCTGTCATGAAGAAATTCCATGGCAGCAGCGTCCCCAGGCCGAGTGTGAAGAATATCAGCCAGACAGCTTTATACCTGTGCGAGAGATGGGCAGAGTCAGAGGGGTCTCTGAGCAGGCTGTTGCTGGGACAGGTCAGGCGGTAGGAGGATGTGTGGATATTGCCCCCATCTCCTGACCATCCCTGGCCCAGAAGAGGGGAGAGGGGAAGGAGGCACTGAATCATGAATTAGCTCAGGTTCAGTGTTCATAAAGGGAGGGCAGAGGAGAGATTTTCTTGGAGAAGGCAGGGGCCTGGGCTACCTGCCACTCCCACAGCTCTGCCAATGCCCCTCACCCCTGACCTGCAGCCCCCCTGCTATCCCAGCCCTGGGCTCCCCACACACAGCTCTGCCAGTGCCCCGCACCCCTGACCTGCAGCCCCTGGCTATCCCAGCCCTGGACTCCCCACACACAGCTCTTCCCATCCCTATCACTCCTGACCTGCAGCACCTGGCTGTTCCAACCCTAGGCTCCCTTAAGCAGACATTAATTACATTCCTCAGGACAGTGCAGGCTGGTGCTGCTCAAGTCCCTCACACAACACAACACAGACAGACACTAGCCTTTGGGGCACCCCTGCTGAATTCTGCAGCACTCTTACAAGCACTAATGTCACCGGCCAGTTCCCAGATTCAGAGATTCCCAGGACAGAAGGACCATTGTGACTATCTAGTCTGACGCCCCGTATAATACGGGCTGGAGAATGGCCCCAGAATAATTTCCAGAGCATATCCTTTAGAAAAACATCCAGCCTTGGTTTAAAAAACATCCAACACTGCCATTGTTGGAGAATCCACCATGATCCTTGGTAAATTGTTCCAGTGGTTAATTACCCTCCCTGGTAAAACTCGGTCTTATTTCCAGTCTGAATTTGCCTTGCTTTGACTTCCAGCCATCGGATCGTGCTGTACCTTTCTCTGCTAGAATGACGAGCTGACTAACAACTATTTGTTCCCCATATAGATACTTATAGACTGGAATCAAGTGACCCCGAACCTTCTCTTTGTTAAGCTAAATAGATTGAGCACCTTGAGTCTACCACTATAAGGCCTGTTTTCTAACTTTTTAAATCATTCTTGTGGTTCTTCTCTGAACCTCTCCCCAATTTATCAACCTCCTTCTTGAACCATCTGTGGACACCAGAAATGGACACAGAGTGTGCCAGCAGCAGTCATCCCAGTGCCAAATACAACCGTAAAATAACCTCTCCACTCCTACTTGCGATTCCCCTGTTTATACAGCCCAGGATCACTTTAGCCCTTTTGACCACAGTGTAGCACTGAGAGCTCATGGTCAGCTGATTAGCTGCCAGGACACCCAAGTCTTTGTCAGAGGGTTCTCCATTCAGTGGGGCACTGTGCCATTGTGCCTGTTTTTACAGAGGTGCTGAACACCCCGCAGCTCCCACTGGCTTCACCTGGACCAGCGAGTGCTCAGCCCCTCTGAGAATCAGGCCCTACATGTCCAACATGGGACACTCAAAGCCTATAGCTGCTTTTGTCCACCTAGGCCTTAATGCAGTCGAATGGGCACGCGGAGTCCTGACTGCCCCTTAGTGGCAGCTCTAATCATAGTGCTGCTTAGTACAGCACCAGCCTGTTGGACCCAGAATCCCCTAATGGGAAGTTGGATATGTTGGAGTTCGGAGAAATAAGGCCAGGTGGGTTGTTAGCTGCGAACACCAGGGGCTCCCACTTCCTTACCCGCTGTGTATGCCTTCCCAAAGAGAAGAGACTGGGTGCCCCCAACAAGGTGTAACCGGGGGGAGCTATATCTGACACTCCATATGGCATTGATGCTAAGGCAGGAGAACGGATCCCACTTGTAGGAGAGGGGCAGCTCTCTGCGGAAGGGGCAGTGGGGAGAAGGGTGTCTGCTTGGCCCAGGACAGGTTGTGTGGAGCCCCTGCAAGTGCTGGGAGCAGCCCTGCCTCCCACTGACATTAAGTAAGAGTGCAAGGGTTCAGCTGCCCTGTGACCCAAAGGGGATTTCCAAGCTGTTATGAAAGAGGGAGGGAGCAAGCGAGGGTGTTGGCTGCTCACAGGCCCATGGCGGCCAGATACGTGCTGGCAGCTGGCAGATGTGGGAGGGGGCCAAGTCTCTTAGTATTTGTCTTCTCCTCACAGTGCGGAATGTTTGCAGCCCGTGAGTTATGGGAAAACTGACAAGAGGAGAGCTGCCAAGGGAGGAGAGCGCCACAGACCCGATCCTGTTGCTTTAGTCACGTCATGAGTTACAGACTGGGCTCCACCTAGAACTACATATAGCACAGCCCTGGCTGCTGCTCCCCCAGCCCTCTGCTCCAGGGCCACGGCAGAAGGCAGGGGAGTAGGGTTTCTGGGTTTGGGGACAGCAATAGCTCCCCACCACCCCACCTCCAAGTTTCAGGGACACTGGATTTGTCAAGATCATGGCCCCTGTGGGCTCATCCCAGGGTCCTTGGGCTCTTATGGCAGTCCTGTCACTTGGTGAGCCTGCCAGGCTGCAGGGAGGGGGTCCCGGAAACATTGCTGCAGCTGTGGTTCTGTCAGGAGGGGCTGGTCAGGGGACCAGCGCGGAAGGCGATGTTTCCAGGGGACGTGTGTGCACGCATACTAAGGCCTGGCCATACCTGTCTGAGGGACCGCTGCTCGTCATCATGGTGCCTGGTGGCGGTCAGCGAGGTTTGGTAACACTCTCACTGTGCTGCTGGCGTCCTGCAAATCCAAACCAAACAGAGAGCTTAGTGGGGAGCTGGAATCCTGGGAGCAAGGGGCGCAGTGCTGGTTTTAGTGCTGGGGGCATCCTGGGTGAGCTCCCAAAGGGCTGGGATCAGCAACACTCTGAAAGGGAACAGTACCCGCACAGATCTGCCTCCCCTTTGCAGAGCTGCTGCTTGGAGATCTTCGAAACGACTTGCTCAGGACAGGCTGGGATGCAGGGCAGTGGGGTTGGAGGCCTGAAGCCCCTTCCTCCTGCAGGGAAGCCCTGCCCTGACACTGCCCCTTTCTCCCCTGGGTGAGTTGAGCTGGCATTTTTCTCAGCTCCTCGGTCCCCTCTGCATCAGCCAGGCATATCTGTTCCCCTTCAGTTACATACCCAGCAGGTCCCACCCAGGAGGCCTGGCTCCTCCATTCTAGGCTATGTGGAGTCGCCAGTCCAGCGGTGACAAATACCCCATCTCCAGACAAGGGGAATGCCTGGCTCTGGCATGCTCTAGGTTCCTTTAAGCTGGTGCATATCTCCCACCCCCTTTTCTCTGCCATGTACACTGGAGCAAATCCTCCACAAGGGCTGAGGCCCCTCCCAACCCCTCTTTGGTACCAGGTGACAACGAACCTTTAGGCACCTGCTCCAGCCATGTCTGCTTTCTGCAGAGACCCGGCCCTGCTTTATCCCTATACACCAACGGCTCTTCAGCCCTGAGGATGGATCAAGGGCCAGCTGGAGGGTCTGAGCGTAGGCCAATCTCCTCCTCCCACAGAGACTGCAGGATTTGCTGCCCCATCAGCAGCAGCAGCCCTAGCCTGGCCCTTGCCAGTTTCAACTGTTACTACATTGGGCACTTCCTCTTCACACGCAGTGGGCATACTCTGGGGTCCCCGTCTAGCTCACTCCCCTCTGCAGATCACATGACCCCCTGGACAGGGCAGAAGTGTGATCCCTTTTGTCGCTTATGGGGCACGGCCTAGTTACCTAGTACATCTCACCCACTTCCCCCTACCATGGCTACCCCCCAGGAGCTGCCTCCCAGAGAGCCAGCGCCCAGCCACAGCTGGGACTGCTCCTCAAGGCTCCAGCATCAGCCTAAGGGAGCCCAGAAATAACAGAGAGCAAACGGGAAAGCCACTGCATCTGGTGGGAGAAAGCCTATTCAAGGCGAGGAGTTCAGCTCAGGGGACACGCGAGTGCGGGAAGGAATCTGGGAAGACCACTATGAAGGTGGAAGGTGCTGCACCAGAAGAGACTAGTGGGCCCATATGCCCAGCATCCTCTGTCCTTGCTGAGCTGGATCAGATCAATGGGCCCATCTAATCTGATGCCCCGTCCCCTGCTGCACTGGCTGCTGGTCCCAGTACTTAATGGCACAAGGAACGTTTAAAAAAAATCCTCATCATGCACCTGGCCAGGTGTGCAACCCTCTCCCCAGCCAGCTGACACTGTGAAGCGTGACATCCAGTTGCCCGTAGGTCAGCGTGCAGAAAGCTGCAAGCGTTCCTGCTGCACATCCTGCTCCCTAGCCAGATTCATCCTGCCACTGCACAAGGGGCCCAGGGCAACTGGATCCCTCCTGTTGGGAGAGTTCCAGTGGGGCTGACCAGAACCTGGATCCCAATATGCCGCCTGATAAACGCCCTGACTGTGAGACACACCCCTGCTCCCCCACCACACCTGCATCATAGAAGGGCTGACGGAGAGGCCGAGCCCATGCACACAGCTGGGGATGACAGAGCCAACGGAGGCTCTGGCAGCCCCATGCCCATTGATCAGGAAGGCGTGTCTGAAGGCAGTGGAACTGTGTTTTTTGCCTCCCACGGGAGTGAGTGCCAAGCCCCTCCTGGTCATGGGGGCTGCGTTGGAGCAGATGAGTTGGTGTCAGCTAGCGTCAGGTCACATCACACAGAGCCAAGGGAAGGGAAGTGAGGAAATGGAGGATTTCGCGGAGGGGATAGCGTGTGAGCAGTACTACAGGCTCCCAGCTTCAGGATCCCAGAGGAACGATGGAGCAGGGCAGCAAGGCCCAGGAGCTGGGGAGTTTGCCGGCGTGGGGACGGCTCTCCCTGCCAGCAGTGCAGCTGCAGTGGGCCAGCTTGCAGCAGCCCCTGAAAGCCCACCTGTCACAGGGCCCTGTCACACCTGGTTTAGTTCTGCTGCTCTGAGCTGGTGGGTCCCCACACACTCCTCTCCCAGGCCCCTCTCTCTGCCCCGAGGGGGCCACTCACTCCTGTTTCCCTACTGACTGTGAGCCCATGTCACTCTGGGAAGGGTGAGCGGGCTTCCTAAAGGAAGGTGCCATAGCTGCTTAACCCCATGCTCTCATTTTGCTAAGTGCCTCCATTTCTTTCCAGAGTGCTGGCTTATTGCAAGCACACACAGACCAGCACTCATTACTCCCAAATACCTGTAATGCAGCCAGCTCAACACAAGCAAATCAGTGTGAGTGACCCAGCCTGTGCCGCCTTGGGCAACCCAATAACAGTGCCCTACAACCAACCAGCGTATGTAGCCCAGCCTTCACTAGCAATCCTGCGATAATGCCCAGCTCAGCTGGGCTAAGAAAGCCTGCGAGACAGCTGCTGGGCCTGCACTCTTCCTCTCAGAGGATACATGAGCCTTCATGGATCATGAAATCCTCTGCACATCAGGGAGAGGAAATACTTTTTTCAAGGTCATGGCATAACAGCTTCGTGACAGTTCTGCAGAGCTTAGAAATGAAATCTCCCTGCAGGGGAGGGATGTGGGAGCCCTTGTAATAAGCCAGGCTGCTGCTCCCTCTTGTGAATCTGCTACAGGGCTACCTCTGACAAACTGCATGGCCCTTTCAGGGCTTCAGGCCACATGGGATGCCATGAGCTTTCCATGGTCAGTACTTTCACCCCTGGTATGCGCCAAAAATGGCTGTCAAGGACATTGTTCCCATAAAACGATCAGGACAGGACAGGTCCAGATGCCTTTCCTGCCCTTATCTATAGATATTCTTCAGAGAGTCAAAAGTCTTTCCAGATGTCCCAGTGCAGCAGCGGACTTGAAGGGACTCCCATCTGAGTTCACGCTGTCCTTAGGGGAGTGCCCATGGACGCTTTTGATATGGATAGAGTGTATATTTGGCAATTGTATATTGAACGCAAAAATCTCACTGATGCTGCACTATGGTATATCTCAGATTTCACATTCCCACCTGGCTCCCATATGGACCCTAACCTGGCTGCTATTTAAACTAAAGGGCAATTGGGCACAACAACATATGGGCATCAACTGACTATGGACACCTTTAGGATGGTAATTAGAAGGTTTCTAACCCTCAGACAGATGAGGATCTGGACCTCCCAATAGGAGTTGTAGGGGCAAACCATGATCTAGTTTTAAGAGTGAGCTGGACAAATGTATGCGTGCGATTGTATGATGGGGTTGCTTGTGATCGAAAGGTCAGGGCTCAGCAGCCTTGGGGCTCCCTTCCAGTTTGCCTTATGTTCCTAAAAGGTCTTGTTTCAGGGTTCCAGCCGGCCACCCTGAAGGGGTCGGGAAGGGATTCCCCCCTCCCTGCCAACATATTCTGGGAGGTTTTTTTTTTTTTTTTAAATCTCCTTCCTCTGAAGCATCAGGGATGGCCATGGCCAGAGATGGTTCATTGCACGGGGAGGGTTGGAGCTCTGAGATGGCACCAAGCACTCTCTCTCAGCTACTTGCCCCACATGCTCGTGGTCTAACCGATCGCCATATGTAGGGTTAGGAAGGAATTTCCGCCCCAGGTCAGATTCGGGGAAACCCTTGGGGTTTGGGTTTTTTTGCCTTCTTCTGCAGCATGTGGGTCACTTGCAGGATTATCTGGGTATATCACACTTAATCATTTCCCTGTCATTGCAGGGGAACTTGGTCCCTCCTATCCTCTGCCTGTGGCACATGACAGTCTAGTCTCCTGAGGGCTGTAATACTTTGGTCTCATTGCGGTTGTTGGGTTTCGTGTGCGGGTGCTGGGAGGTGCTGTTGGTCTGAGATATACAGGAGGTCAGACTATTATGAACTGGTGGTCCCAGTTTGGCCTTCAACTCTATGACTAATGAGGCTGTGGACCCACTAATTTGGAGCTGTCTGGCCTGGTGAGGGTCAGGTCCCTGGTAAACGCAGGTTTTTACAGTTAGCCTCTTGTATTTCTACACCCCAGGCAGAGGCTGTGTGCACAGAGAGCTGTATTTGTGCACGTGTGCATCCAGGAGACGGTGTGTCTCATACTGTTCCCAGAATGATGACAAACCCTTTGATTCAACAGTCACCATCAAAGAGCTGATGAGGAAACAGCCACAGTTTCCACTCATCCTCTCTCTTCCTTCCTGGGTCCTGTTTTCAGACATCCTCTTTCACTGCTCGCCTGAGCCAGAAACCTGGGAACCCCACAGCCACTTCCCACAGGCTTCCAAACCGGAGGCTCTGCCCCTCCTTGGGAAGAGGCAGCAGGATCATGGCAGTCTCTGAAGGGCCAGTGCCTAGAGTCTCTGCTCCATTTTTACAGGGCTCTGTATGCTGGGGCCACTGAGAGAGAGACTAAGCTCTTCAGAGGAAGTTGGACATCAGGCTCCCCCATCCTGCTCGGGTGTCTCTAATGGGGGCAGTAATGCCTGCTCTCTCATCCCGGCAAAGCTGCTGACAGCCCTAAGACTCTCATTCCAGAACTCACCCCCTTCCTCCAAGTCAGGGACCCTGCAGCAGCTCCTAGCATTGTCCACAGCCATGACTCTGTTCTGTCCTGCTCCATTTTCACTCCCCCATTTCTTTGGCAGGGAGTGTGAAATCAGCCAGCCCTGAAGAGGAGTCATAATCCCAGCACTCTGGGAGTGAAAGGGTGACCCGAGCCCAGCCCCTCTGAGCCACCCCATCTGCAGAGCCTCAGGTGGGAACTCTGCAGCCGTGGGAACTCCCTGGGGAAATATAAAACCAAGGTGTTTTATCTTTCCTAGCACCCGGCTCCTTCTTATCACAGCTGCCCAGAAGTCTGGGGGGAGTGGCACAGCAGTGTTTCAGGGCTGGGATATGCCTTGAGTTACAGGCTACAGACCACTGTACCAGCCACTTCCAAAGCTAATGAGCACAGCTCCTGACACTGTGCGGGACCTGAGCTAACGTACCCGGTCAGCACACTCCACGCTACTTGAGGAGCCAAATATAGCCAGCTCCCCAGGCATTCTGACCCAGTTTGACTCACCCAGCCTGGACCTCACTGGAATCCCTCCTGAGTTACACTGGCATGAGAGGAGAAACAGACCTTCCAGGGAGAATCCAGGGCTGCAATAACAGTGGTTAGTTACCGATGGGGTGTAAACGATCACAAACAGCTGCAAGTGGGTGCCTGGAGTAAAGTTGTGCTACAGACCCTGATCTGGCACCAGGTGAGTGTGGAGAAAGAGTGTAACACACATGCTGAGGGGCTCGGTTGGTTGCAGCAGCTAATAGGTGGGCACAGAGTAAACTGAAGAGCTGCTTTATCTTACACCCACCTGTTAGTTACTTCTCCCACCACACACTCCCCGCTTAGTGCATAAGACAACTCCTTTCAAACCCCCCCATCCAATGCCAGATCCGTGCCAGTCACACAGCTTTCCCAGAGCATTCACTCCCACCTGCTTCCCGACCATTCCACACAGTTCTGCTAGAAGTGGCCCTCAGGCTCAGAGTCTGATCAGAGTTGTACAGTGTAAAGCCAGTACTACTGCCTGGAGTGACTTCACATGTACCCTGCTGTAACTGACAGCACAATCAGACTCTGGGTGTTTACATCAGACTAAAGAGTTTTCCGTGAAAAAGAGAGAGAGCTGGCCCATTGAGTTTGGGGTAAAGTTTCCCTGCAGATTGAACTTCTAGGATCCCTGCCTACTACCCCTTACCAAATGCCCCCATCCTACCAGCCAGGTGCTCTCGATAGCTCCTTCATGCTCTCTGTGCCCTGGGCATGCTCCCAGCTCCCCCAGAATTACGCATATTTTGGAACAGTTCTTAAGAGACTAGCATATAAAGTAGATCATTAGAGAAACTCCCACAAACACAGCCGCTTAAATAACAGCGCAAACAATGCCGTGTTCTCACAACAGGAGGAGGACTCAGCCCCCATGCTCCTGGCTCCCTTCAGCTGCAGCAATCTCCCAACCCCCCTGCTTCCGCAACATGTGACAGAATGGAAACCGACCTGTTGTCTAAACCCAGCTGCAGACCCTTAAATCCCGCAGCTGGGAACAACTGGCTGGTTTGGGGTGAGGATTCCCCTTGCCCCAGTGGACAACAAAGAGAGATTTACCAAGAGGGCAGGTGGGTCTCCGTCAGTCAGGTCGCTCCAGACCCTTCAGGCTGCCCTGCGGCTGGTATCTAAGCAGTCCCACAAGCTGAGGCCAGCACTCTGGATGTGGGAGGGGAAAAGCAGATACAAGAACTGACCCGGGCCTCTTTCTGAGAAAACACAAAGAACTCTCCCCTGACAACCTGCTATGTCAGAGGAGTGGAGATAAGCTACTCTCAGTGTGGATACCAAGCACGTGGGACAGGGCCTGTCTCCCCGATGAGATGTCACACAGGAATCCTGGTTACTTATGCCCACTAGAGATTCCCAAGCACTTCTGGTGATGCAGGGTGTTACGTCCTGTGCCCTGGCCTCATCTCAACTTGAGCAAGTCCATTCAGCCACCCTCACTCTCCTTGCCGTTTCAAACAGATACTGAATTCCTGCCTTGCTTCATGGCTTAAAAAATTGTGCCATGTCACTGTGCACTGATAAAAGGCTGCCACGCTCCACCCAAACAGTGGCTGCACTGGAGCAACCGGAGAAACATTGTGTGTATGTGAAGGAGAGTGTTTAACAGAGGTGAAGCCAGTGAACAGGGGGTGGGGGTGGGCACTGTTTCTATACAGGCAGTAAATCTGTGTGCATTCCCACTTGAGTGTAACGCAGTACGGATACAGACAGGTTGGAGGGAGGGACCTGTGCCCCAGGGCCAGAGCAGAACTCTGGCTATCTATCTCCACAGAGTTAGCCACACACAGGCTGTCTCTGCTCTGCCCCAGACTCAGTCAGGGAGTCTAAGGGCTGGGGTGTGCAAACTGCTAGCCTGCTGAAGGAAAGATCTATACACATTTGAACTGATTTGCTGCCTGGGCCAGTTTTCTCCCCTAGAACTTACTGTGATGGTTCTCAGGGTACCCAGAACTTGGCACCTGCTGCCTCCAGAGCAAGAGAGCTTGCCTGTGGTAGCTAGGTATTAGCTCCCTGATACCACCAGCCTTCCTAGCTAGTACAGTAGGTTTTCCCCTAAAGTTCAGTCTGTTGCAAAGTTGGCTGACTTCAGACGAACCAGGATCCAATCTTTTATGAAACACGCTCGCTCAACAAGACGTCTTCTCGGTGAAGGGATGCAGAGGATCATTCTCCATGCTGTGATAGAATGAATTAGAATTTTGTTTTCATTCACAGACAGGGTGACCCTATCTGTTGTATCCTTCCTTTTACCTCCAAGTGGTTTCAATGTTTATAGTTTGTCTTTGATGGTTTTCTATTCACTGTTCTCAGTTGCTGCAATTGTAGAAAATTGAGCAATATGTGACATAATCAGTTAGCCGGGGGCGGGAGGGGGGAAGAAATGTTCGCTTCCACTTGAATGGGCCATCACCAAGATGACTTAATGCTTCCCTGTGCCCTGTGGACTCGTTATTACTCCAAGACCATAAGGTACAGCTTTCAATATAGTTACATTATTCCTTAAACATTACCCATACACACAATGGTTATAATAAGTATTAATAAGTTACAAGCACTCAGTAAAGACATCATATGCTACCCTTCATGGATAAACACCCAGAAAATGGTGTATGAGATGGAGTGAGTTTGTCAGGTCTGAGACAGGAGTTGTTTGTAAAGAACCGTGAGCCCTTTGCCCAATGGTACCAATTGGCCTCTGTGTCACAAAGACCCATTCCTACCCAAATCCTAAGTTCACCAGAACTAGGACCCTGGTAGGTCAAAGCAGGCTTCGGAGAAATTAAAAGTGGTTACCACAGCAATAACAAGGAAGAGCCAAGAGCAGCTGACTGTAAAATACCCAGGAAGGGAGGGAAGGAGGTTGGCCTTGCTCAGAGAAGCAGATGCCACTGAAGTATCCTAGGAGATGCAAGCCAGGTCATTGAGGGTTTACAGAAGGAGGCTCTGCCATAGAGTTAATATTGGTCTATTAAATATCCAGTGCCCACCCAGCATCCAAAATTGTACCCAATGCTTCAGTGTTTAGCCCCGTGTCCCATGGTCCCACTTCCAAGCCAGCACCATGCTATGCAGCAGTCAGTCCCAGGCCTTACTTGGCATTCTCCAGAGTCCTAACCAACCTCCTCCTGCTGAGCTGTCACAGGCTGACACTGCCCCTTTAGGGCAGAGCAGAGCCAGTGCATCCTGAGCCTCATCAGCTCACTCCAATTCAAAGGGTGGGGCGGCACTGGGTGCTACCAAAGATCCGGAAGAGGACCCCCCCCGCCCCGAGAGAAATATCTGGTGACTCAGGGCTGCCTAGCAGCACTGACTAGAGGAACAAGGAAAGAGGCAAGTTAGCACTACCAGAGTCTGTATGTTTGGAACCTGGGAGAGGGCTGAAGGTGGGAGAGCAGCAAGAGAAGGTTGCTGGCTGACATCCCCCAGCCAAAGAGCCAGAACTGGAGGCAGGAGGAGAAGCAGCAGCAGCGGGAGCTGCCTGTTGGCTCTAGCTGGAGATGGGGACAAAGGAGGTGGAAGGCAGAGGAGCAAAGGAGGGGCCTACCCATTGCCACCTCCAGGGCTTGAAAGCTGGTACCAGAGGAACTGTGAGAGGGCTGGGGAGAGTGAGGGATGCTTCCCTGGCAAGGATGCTGCCAGCAGAGAGGCTGGGGAGTTCCTGCTGGGAAGAACAGGGGTTGCACGCCAGGAGGAAGGTCTGGGCTGGCTGTCCCAGCAGAGGGACAGGAGGAGTGACAGAGTCTGGGTGTGGCGGGTGATGCCAGAATGTGGTATGTATTATGCCCATGGCCAAGAGGATGTGTGATTTTCAGGACAGCTTGCACTGGGGTGATAAATGGACTATGGTTTGGGACTTTTGGTAATAAACTCACCCCAAGGAAGGGCATTATTGTAGCAAGAGAGTCTGCACTGGAGCTCTTGGGTTACCGGAGAGAGGGACACTAAGGGCAGGCCACACATGTCATACCATGGCTTGCCACCTGAGGTGCTGCAGACAGGGCTGCCTTCTGATACCGGCCATCGTTGGGAAAGGGAAAGGTGGTACAGCAGAACCTCAGAGTTGCAAACATCAGAGTTATGAACTGACCGGTCAGCCACGCACCTTATTTGGATCAGGCAGCAGCAGTGACCAACCCCTCCCTCCCCGCCCCCGCACACACACAAATACTGTACAGCACAGTACTACATTCAACATAAACTACTAAAAAAATAAAGGGAAAGTTAAGAAAAGAAAGACTTGACAAGGCAAGGAAACTGTGCTTGTTTCATTTAAATTAAGACCGCTAAAAGCAGCATTTTTCTTCTGCATGGTAAAGTTTCAAAGCTGTATGAAGTCAGTGTTCAGTTGTACACATTTGAAAGAACAGCCAGAACATTTTGTTCAGAGTTACAAACAAACTCCACCCCAAGCGTTGGTAACTCGGAGGTTCTACTGTAAGTGCTGAATGGGGTAGTTGGAAAAGCTCTTGTTCAGTGGTAGTGCTGGGAAAGCCTTCATCCAGCATAGTGGTGGCAGTGGGGGATCCCACACTGATTCCTGCTTCCCTAATGCACCCTGATCTTCACCCCTTCACAGATCTTCTCCCTTTTTCCCCAGGTCCCAAGGATACCTGAGCGCACACACAGTCCTTGCTCTCCCCACCAATCCCTGCCCCAGAGCCTAACTCTTTGCGGCCTGTGTGTTTGAAACTAGCATTGAAACCCCCATTTTCACATCCCTCTGCAAAGAGTCCTGCAGTTGCTCACTATCCCCCAGTTCACCAGTCTGTGCAGCAACAGGAGAGAGGAGCAAAGTCTCCTTTGTGGGGCAGTGTGCATAGGAGGCGGGAGGTCCCTGGGGGTGCTGGAAGGGAGTGGGAATGAGGGGGGTGGATTCCAACCTTGTTGCTTCACTCTTGGCACCAGGGTCTAGAGTCAGGATGGAGTCAAATAAGAGAAAGAAAGAAACTAGGGGCAGATGAGAAGCTAGCATGAATTGGCAGAGCAACCGAGAGGGTTCCTGGGGAGATTATAACCTCCTGCTCCTTGGGTACTGGGCCTCTTCTGCACAGCTACTAGTCAGTGGGTTAGGCCCCAGCCTCTGCTGATGCTCAGAGAAGCCTGGGCCTTGTTTGTTTTCAAAGGGCAAGGGTGGCTGGTTCCAACATGACAACAGCTAATGCTAGCTTTCCTCAGGTGGCCCATCTCCTCTGTGTTTCTGTGGCCGGTACTGCAGCTCGGGGGACAGTGATTGCTCTGGGGATTTCAGAAGGGTGGGCCCCCAATGTTAAAGGTGCCGATATTCCCCCCAGGGGAAGTGCCTGGGAGCTCTCAGAGCCAAACACACCCTGGCAAGGGATCTTCCCCCTCCCTTGCGAATAAGTCACATTTCTCTGGCTCCTTTCATAGCTACAGGAATCACTTGCCCATCACTGAGACATACTCCTCCAAAGGTGGCTGTGTTTATGTTTTTGTTCCCTCTCCGTTAGAGTGGCCATGTTTGCTGGGCCCACTCCTCCCTGACCACCGTCTCCAGGTGGAACTACACAGTGCCAGGAGCAGCCCGGTGGTGTTGGAACAGCCGGGAACAGCTGTGCTGAGCTGGCTGTAGGCTGGGAATTGCATTCCCCCCCACAGGGGGTTAAGCTGCTAAGAGCTGCCCTGAGCTGGTCTTGGGCTAGCAGCTGCCATTCTGTGGCTCTTAAGAGAGCATTCAGAAGCCTAGGGCAGCCAGCAGCCTCTCCCAGGTGCTCACCCTCTGTGCTCCCCAACTCTGGCCTGTTCCTGGTTTAGCCCTGTAATTCACCCCCAAGCCTTAGCTGCCCACAGCAGGTTAGACCCCGACTCCCTGGGGAAATACAGAGTGAGGGTTGCCCTGACCCTGAGGGCAAGGGGCCGCTTGCAGAGCTTGGGGCTGCTGCACTTATGCAGCTCCTCTCCCACTGCTTGGTGAAGGTGTAGCTTCCACTCAGCTATTTCTACTATTCAGCTGCTCCTGCTTAGCTATTTTTAGGAGGCCGCTGGGCTGGGGAGCCCAAATGAGACTTGCAGCTGGTTCCAATTTAGAGGTGGAGGGGGAAATGCAGCCAAAACCGAACAAAATGTTCCGTGGGCTGACCATTACCATTTCCCCAAGTTGCAAAGATTTATGAGGGGGGGGCCTGTGGGGCTCTTCCTTAGGATTGGCAGCCTCACTAGGAGTTAGGCTTGCCGCTCAGCTCAACCAG